ACCAGATTGTTCTAGAGTCATGCTGTTGTAGAAACAATATTGATTATTTACCAGATTGTTCAGAACCAGGCTGTTGTAAAAACAATATTGATTATTTACCAAATTGTTCTATAGGCATGCTGTTGTAAAAACAATATTGATTATTTACTAATTGTATTATATCCAATGATTTAAAAAGAATATTGATTATTTACCAGATTGTTAGACTATAGTCATGCTGTTGTAAAAACAATATTGATTATTTACCAAATTGTTCTAGAGTCATGCTGTTGTAAAAACAATATTGATTATTTACCAGATTGTTCTAGAGTCATGCTGTTGTAAAAACAATATTGATTATTTACCAAATTGTTCTATAGGCATGCTGTTGTAAAAACAATATTGATTATTTACCAGATTGTTCTAGAGTCATGCTGTTGTAAAAACAATATTGATTATTTACCAGATTGTTCTAGAGTCATGCTGTTGTAAAAACAATATTGATTATTTACCAGATTGTTCTAGAGTCATGCTGTTGTAAAAACAATATTGATTATTTACCAGATTGTTCTAGAGTCATGCTGTTGTAAAAACAATATTGATTATTTACCAGATTGTTCTAGAGTCATGCTGTTGTAAAAACAATATTGATTATTTACCAGATTGTTCTAGAGTCATGCTGTTGTAAAAACAATATTGATTATTTACCAGATTGTTCTAGAGTCATGCTGTTGTAAAAACAATATTGATTATTTACCAGATTGTTCTAGAGTCATGCTGTTACAAATATGACAAGCTTCATTCTATGATATAAAACCAGCCAAATTTTTTGAGTTTTGAGATATGACTAATATATAACCATAGTCTCCTTGCAAAAAACGTTTTCATAGAACTATTACTGTCTGTAAAACAAATATTGATTATTTACCATAATATACTCATATCTCAATCATTTTCTCCCTGCTTTCAGTCTCCCTGGTGACATTGGAAGTTAAAAAATCATATTGTAAATACACTATACAAACATTTGGCTGGCTTTGATCATTTAATTTGTACATTCAGACTTTGATATTTATCTTTTTAAGCAAATAATAACAGTAATATTCCTTTTATCTTCCCATTACAACATACACTAAATTAGAGACAGCCTGATAGAGTCAGTATATCATTATATCATTATACAGTAGCAGATTGTTACAGTGAAACCTTTTATGACCACCTCTTGTAATTAGAACAGTTGCAAGAGTTATAGGGGGTTTTTGTTTTTATTCTCGTCAAACAAGTGTCTGTATACCTGTATTTAAAGACCTCTTATTCTAGAGGAAACTGTAAGATTGTTGTGATATATCACGTTCTTTTATAATGTTATCTTGTTTAGATGTTTAAAAACTTTTTATTTTGAACCAAACTTGAACCGAACTCCAACTCGGCAGCATAAACAAAAGTAGAAACTGTGCACTGGCATTACTTGAATTTCTTTATCAAAGCTAAGCTGGTGTTCAGAATTGTCAAATACTGCAACAGGAGTAAGAGATTAATTAAATTGTAAATTTTAACAACTCTAACTTTAGAGATATTCAACAGTTATATATTGATCAAGTTCATGAGAAATTACAGTTTGCTATTGGATGCAGTGAAATATCACAGGGAAAAGTCTTTAATTATTTAAATTCATTACGTTTTGTTGGCATTAAGTGAGTTCTAACTAAGATACAGTGGTAGTGCATTTATCATCCTTATAAAACTGATTTTGTTATTCCGTTTCATTGAATGTAAAACATTTAGAATGGAATAATAGAATCAGGCAACCTAAAGGGAGATAAAGTTTATGACTAGAAAAATTAAAGGGAAGTAAGTAGGTAAACATCATTAAAAAATAACAGCTTAACATGCTTTAGAGGTAAAGAAGCCTAAAACATAAAATTTGAAATTCTTATATAGATCAAGTGTTGTACTTAAAATTGAAAAATCTGCAAAGGATAATATAGCAATAAATAATGCTCTAAATTAAATAAAATATTGATTTTTATATGATTCTTAGCCCTATTTGAGTGAAAAGCATCGCAATGCCAGGTTGTTTCCTCCAAGGGTCAAGATCAAACAAAGTCATGCAAATATTAAAAAGTCCATTTTCTATATCCACTCCATAACATATATACCATCTGGAAAGTTGTAAAATTATTTGGCACAAATGTTCACCACCATGACATGGTGTGCAGAGCACATCATCTAGGTTGCTACTTCCAAGGTTAAAAACATACATAGAGATAAAATGTTCTGATCCACAAGTGAACTTTTTGACTTCTTGGATGATTTGGACCTGCGAATCACCAGTCACCATTACTTGATATGCTTACGATGTGCATAGTGCTGCAAAGTGCAAGATGTGCATACTGCTGCACAGTGCAAGATGTGCTTAGCGCTGCACAGTGCAAGATGTGCTTAGTGCTGCACAGTGCAAAATGTGCATAGTGCTGCACAGTGCAAGATGTGCATAGTGCAAGATCTGCATAGCCTTACACAGTGCAAGATGTGCTAAGCGCTGCACAGTTCAAGATGTGCTTAGCGCCGCACAGTTCAAGATGTGCTTAGCACAGCACAGTGGAAAATGTGCAGAGCCCTGCACACTGCAAGATGTGCTTAGCCCTGCACAGTGCAAGATGTGCATAGTGCTGCACAGTGCAAGATGTGCTTAGTTATGCACAGTTCAAGATGTGCTTAGCGTTGCACATTGGAAAATGTGCAGCAAGATGTAGCGCTGCACAGTGCAAGATGTGCTTAGGGCTGCACAGTGGAAAATGTGCAGAGCCCTGCACAGTGCAAGATGTGCTAAGCGCTGCACAATGCAAGATGTGCTTAGCGCTGCACAGTTCAATATGTGCTTAGGGCTGCACAGTGCAAGATGTGCTTAGGGCTGCACAGTGCAAGATGTGCTTAGGGCTGCACAGTTCAAGATGTGCATAGTGCAAGATCTGCTTAGCGCTGCACAGTTCAAGATGTGCTTAGGGCTGCACAGTGCAAGATGTGCTTAGGGCTGCACAGTGCAAGATGTGCTTAGGGCTGCACAGTGCAAGATGTGCATAGTGCTGCACAGTGCAAGATGTGCTTAGTTATGCACAGTGCAAGATGTGCTTAGCGCTGCACAGTTCAAGATGTGCTTAGGGCTGCACAGTTCAAGATGTGCTTAGGGCTGCACAGTGCAAGATGTGCTTAGGTCTGCACAGTGCAAGATGTGCTTAGCGCTGCACAGTTCAAGATGTTCTTAGGGCTGCACAGTGCAAGATGTGCTTAGGGCTGCACAGTGCAAGATGTGCTTAGGGCTGCACAATGCAAGATGTGCTTTAGGGCTGCACAGTTCAAGATGTGCTTAGGGCTGCACAGTGCAAGATGTGCTAAGCGCTGCACAATGCAAGATGTGCTTAGCGCTGCACAGTTCAAGATGTGCTTAGGGCTGCACAGTTCAAGATGTGCTTAGGGCTGCACAGTGCAAGATGTGCTTAGGGCTGCACAGTTCAAGATGTGCTTAGGGCTGCACAGTTCAAGATGTGCTTAGGGCTGCACAGTTCAAGATGTGCTTAGGGCTGCACAGTGCAAGATGTGCTTAGGGCTGCACAGTGCAAGATGTGCTTAGGCCTGCACAGTTCAAGATGTGCTTAGGGCTGCACAGTTCAAGATGTGCTTAGGGCTGCACAGTGCAAGATGTGCTTAGGGCTGCACAGTGCAAGATGTGCTTAGGGCTGCACAGTGGAAAATATGCAGAGCCCTGCACAGTGCAAGATTTTGCTGACAATGCAAGATGTGCTTAGCGCCGCACAGCACAACAGCTGGGTTATTCGTTAAGGTCAAGATCTGTGTAAGGTTAAGAAATTCACATTTATCTCTTGCAGCAGTAGATATAGCAGTCCCATAGACTGCCTTGCTTTTATTTTAAATGTAATAGTTACTGTAACATGCATGTTCAGTGTTTTATTCTGCCAAAATCTCTGAGGAGAAATTTTTTGTACGAAAAAAGGAAAAGAACCATGAGAAAAATAGCTGAATGATTGTTAAATTTGGCCCCCTAGAAAAATTGCCAGAGAATGAGTGTCCTTACGGAGTGTCATCAATAAAAATAATAATTTCTCTCCTAATATATTGTAAAGGTTTCAGATCGGCAGTCTTATGTGAAATGAAAAAGTCTAGACTTTTGTAAGGAACGTCTGTATCTTTGGATTCCCAGAACAGATTATTCTATGATTCTGTTTTGTTAGTTAATGCTACATTTTGATAAAAAAAAAATGGTAGAAAATTATGGCTGTAGGAGATGTCCTTTCACAAATTATATGTCTAAACTAGCCATTTGTGTGCTCATTGTCCATCACTGATAGATAACAGTGTCCTCCCTTGTGAAAATTCCGTACAAAATCTGTGTAAATTTACTGTAATTGACATTCTGATTTCATTTTTTGGGTCATTTTTTTCATTCTCCAAAAGATCTAAGATAAAAATTGACATTTGTTCGGAGCCTTATAATTGGTGTGTTCTCTTGTAATGGAGCAGCGGTAGAGTTAAATACAACTGAAAAACAGCTCTGTATTTGGATTATTATGTATGATATTGTGCAATTTTTTTTCTTCTTGTTAAGAATATTTTTTTTTACTTATAGATACATGTAATATGTGAAATGCTGATTGAATCACTCCCAAACTGCTTTAGGTTAAAAAAAATAGATTTGGATATATATTTAATTTATAATAATTCCAAACAAGAATGAAATAATACTAAAATAAATTACATAAATGTGCATTAGGCTTATACATGCATTGATGGATATAATTATAAGCAATTTCCTGCAAATTGGAATTATGGAAATCATTTGTGTTATTATGTGATAATTATAATGATAAATTAAATATCTATAATAAAAAAAAAATTATATTAAAACTTTTTTTTATGAATTTAAAAAAAATGAACAAAGTGTGATGGAATAGTGCAAAATATGATACAATTAATGTAAATGAAAATGAAAATGTTTGACCTACCTGAATAAGTTCAGTCCTTATACATTGGAGTTTGAACATTGCAGTTTGAAATATATATATTTGTACTGGTGACTTTGATGTCCAGTGTCTGTCACTTTATCATGTAGCAATTGCCAGAAATTTCTCCTCATAATTCTCCATTATTTCATTCTTTAACTGCATAAGATAGCCTGTAATAAAAATGTTAAAGTCACTCACAAAAAGAGTATCAATAATATTTTCACTGCTAGTAACGGCTTGGTAGAGAAATGATCGCTTTTGTATTCCATTTACTACAATAATTATTGTAGTAAAGTACGGTAATTGTGTTCCGTTAATAGCCAATAGAACTTATCTAATCTTTTACATTGTTTCAAAGTCCCCAATATTTTTGAGTCTTTTATCATACCAAACATACATAGTGTGGTTGCTTAGAGGTTATAGCCTAAGGCTCGAGGATTGATATATTTACTTGTGCATAGATTAGTTATGACCTCAGATATATAATGTTAAACTTTCTTACCGCATTTATATGTAACACTCCAAATGAGCATTGTGTTAAATAGTGTCGAGTGAAATTTAAAACGAAAAGAAACAAAAGACGAAAGAAAATCAATGTTTGTTGTGAATTATATTAAAACCTATTCTGTCGTTTAAATTAAAGAACAAAGTAGTATCCTTGTGAAGTGAAACAGTGATAGTTTGGATATTATATTTCGTTGACGTTTTAATTTATGGTATACTTGCTTTGAAAATGTTTTTATGCGAGTGACAAGTAGCTGGGAGTGATCTATCTGTCACAGTCCACCTATCAGGATTTAGTATAACTTTATTAGGTGTTTTAAATCTTGTAAGGTTGTGTTTGACATCTTAACACAGTGACTGTCATTGACAGTCATAGAATATTTGACAAGCTGGCTTCCGCTAAGACACCAGGTTTAGAGACTGTGTACGAGACCTCGCCAGATTTAAACAAACGGAGTAGCAGTTCAGCAGCAATGTCTTCCTCCTCGAATTTACAAATGCAGCCTATGCTCTCTAGAGGGCGAAGACCCTCCGCGGCTGTGGTGGAAGCCGACTTCGCAGCTCTACGGGCAGGCAAGGTAAAAAGTTTAAATCTTGTATTGATTTTTTTTGGATTGACTGATTTAATGCAGGCAGACACAGAGGCAAAATAGAAAAAAGTACATGTAGTTTAATAGTTGTAATGATTTTTTTCTTGACATAATATTATATATAATGACAAGGTAACACAAATGTTAAAAAAAGTTTTATTGAACTTTTTTTGTTACTTCTTTGAGAGGAAGGACATCTATTATTGATCTTTCTATAATGATATTTTGACTGATTGATAACAGGATAGTTTTCATTGATTTTTTTTAACTGATTGATCATTGTTGATTTTTATGATATTGATTGACAGCTTGTTGAATCATGCTGTTTTTCTTAATAATTTGATATTATAAAGTTAAATTATTGGCACTTTTTTAATTTTTTTAATTCTTTTTTAAAATTCATGTGCATGTAGTAAATGAGTAAAGTTTTGTTTAAGAATTTAATAGATAGACTTTGATCTACTGCTGCTGAAATTCATTTTTAATCATTATGAACTTTAATGTCAAATTGTCTAGGGGCATTACTACATGTATTAAGCAACCAATAGCCCTGTTAGCCCACAGACTAGATGATATATTAGTAGCTTTAGTCAATGACACTTTGTCAGTTTGATATATAGTTTGTTTTACACAGTATTATGATATGTTATTTAGTACAGTAATATTCTGGTACCTTTTAAATGAAACTTAAGAAATGCAAGTTTTCTTTGCATTTACATTTGTCTACAATATATCTTTTCAAATGCATTAAAAGTTTTCATATAAAGGTTTCTGTTGCAAAGAAATTTGGACATTAAGATTATGTCAGAGTTAGGATTACTCCCCTTGATGATGTTCACAGATTACTTCCCTTGATTATGTTCAATATGCATTCTGTGATAGAACTGGCAAATGTATGTGAAGGTCACTGGTTAAAAAAATCATTCAGTTGCCATGCACAGTTTTATCTCATTTCAAGTATTACTGACATGTTTGATGAGCCAATAATACTTGTTTTGTTGCCTTTGAAAAAGTTAGGCCTTTAGGAGGTCACCAATATATGCATCTATAAAGTTTCATTTGATTGACTGTTGACTGTTGCATCACTTTTAATTAACAGAAGACAATTTCATACCACAAATTTGGCAGGTTAAAAGCCTGGGTGGTTGGTGAATGGTGATAACTAGCAAGTTTGTGATTACTCATTCATTACCTGAATATAAAGGTTACTGTTTAATTGATGAGTTATATGTAATAGTTATATGTAATGTTCATCTTGATGACTTGTAATATAAGGCCACTCTGAATCTGATTGTTTATGACCTTTATATGAAGGGCATTGTTAAACCGATTATTGTTGATATGTATTGAGCTCATTTTGTAATTAATTGTATTGGCCTTTATATGAGGGTCATCGTTAAACTGATTGTTGATGACTGTTGTAATTGATTGTTTTTAACCTTAATATAATGGTCACTGTTTAGTTGAATGTCACTGTTCAATGTATTTTTATCACCTGTATATGAGGGTCACTGTTTAATTCATTGTTAATGACTATGTAAAGGTCACAGTTGAATTTATTGTTGAAGACCTGTATGTGAAGGCCACAGTTTAATTGACTGTTGATGACCTTTATAATTATCAAGGTCACTGAAAAAAGTGAATAACTTTAATTACCTGTATATAAAATATACTCTGTGTCATTGATTGTTTATGACTTTCATAAAATCGTCATTCTAAAAATGTATGACTATTGAGTATTGATGACCTGTATATAAAGGCCACTAGTTAATTGGTTGTTGAAACTGAATATATAGGATATGTAGTCTGTAGTGTTTGTGGAAGACCTAAACCTAATTATTGATGTTTTTTTGTCTTGTATGCAAGATTAACCATTTCATCTAAAACAAATCCAGCCATTAAACTTTATTTTCTATTTATGAGGTAGATTACACTATTACATTAAATAGTACATTATTTACAGCAAATTAATTTGATGGGAGAAATTAAATGTGGTTAAAAGTTTCATTGATTTCGCACCTGTCATTTTGTTAAAGGTTGATTGATCATTAAAATGAGTCAAATGCGTGGCAACATGCAGATGATTGTATGATTTGTATAAATCAACTGATTTCTGATATAAAGAGAATGACTGAATTACATTTAGTTATTATTCCTTGGCTACTTTCTCATTCAGTCACACTTTCATTCAAAGATAATTATTACATGTATGTTAATATGGAAATTACTGGAAACTTTGTAAAACTTGCTTTAGATTGCATTTTGTGAAAAGAATATAATATGAAAATTGCAAAATTGATAGGCCTGTCGCCCTTCTTTTATTTATTGGTTAATTAAGACTGTATCGGTGCTTTAGTTAGTCACTATAGTGTCCTGGCAGTAGTCAGTAATTGTGATATTGTCTTCTTGCCACCTTACAAATATGGAAGGCCAGAGATATTTTGTTTCCTTTGTGTACTATGTAGTCTGTAACCAATATTTAAATGGTCATGGGTATAGCATTGTGTTTTTATTTTAGAACAACCGACGTTAGCCAAAATCATCTTTCCTGTTTTGGTGCGATATGACCTAAATAGTGTTTGTGCACTGTAAAACCAAACAAACAAACAGACCCCTTTTTGCATGATGACTTTATTTTCCTTTAAGTCTGTTTTGAATATAGAACAGAACTATTAAATGCTGATTTAAGTGATTCTTTAATCCAATGGGCCTGCAGGGGGGCAACTGATTCCATCAGTACATCCGGTGCAGACCAAGATCAGGCTGCCTCTTATACTTGATTTTGTTCATATTGGATTTTCATCCATTCTCTTAACAAGGATGATGATTTTTTGAAAGCAAACTTGCTCAAGAGTATAATGAATGTCTCAGACTTATCAATTAATAGATTTTGAGATATTAGGTAACAGAGTTTACATTTTGATGAGATTTCACATGCAATATTTTCAAATTACAGTACGTACTTATTGATTTTTACTAGAACAGAGATTTTACTTAGTAAATGATGTCTTCAAAGAAAAAAAGACAAGACAAACAAATGGAAAACAAATGACTTTAAAATTAAGGCCATTATATAATTCAGTTGATTTGTACTAGAAATTCATTATGTCAGTCAGATAAACCTGTATAAGATATATAAAAACCTCATTGACTACCAGTCCTTAAATGGTATAATTACCAAAGACAAATATTTTGAACCAAGAAGTTTTTTTCCTTCTATTCAGTGGTTGTCTTTACAGAAAAAAAAAACATTTGACTGTATCAGAATTTTGGCATTGTTTTAATAAATTGAACTTTGTGGCCAGTCTTAAGTTTATTTTGAATATTGAATTTGTATATTTTTGAAAATGCAGGTCTGAACGGACTTATTTGTTTGAGAAATTATCAGCGTTTTTATATCCATTGATTGATTGGTCATAAAAATAATTTTAGTTTTATAACTGAAATAAATGATCTTAAAATACCTACTTTTACTCAGTTTTACTTTGTTATGTCTATATTAGGATACAATAAATCTGTTAATTTATGAGATATATAAATATGCCAGTTTGTTTTATTACATACAAAAGTAAGTTATTACCACAGGTATTTGTCACTGAATGCATTCTTGTTGGCTATGAGTAAAAAAAATGTACAGCAAAGCCCATTGAATAAGTAAAATGTTTGATATAGTGTAAATTTTTTTTAAAGAGTGAAATTATGCAAAGTCAGGTGTTAGCTCTTGATGAAGCATCTTAAATCATGTTAACAACATCTCTAGACTGGAGAATTAAGATGTATTAACGCATAAAACATGTTCCATTTAATAATCATTTTAACTTTGAAAGAAATTATGGGCATTAATGGACAATGGCATTAATTGTCACACAGTGACTTAAATGTCCAATTGTCCTTAACCCTTTGCCACCAGTATAGCCAGTCTGCACTACCTTGCAGTTTGCAGACCAGGCCCTACTTATCAGCTGGCTAACTAACTTTAAATTTTCACCTTGTCATCTCCAGTATTGGTAATTGACAGTCTCAAAAATGGAAGCTAGACAAGTCCGCAGCGTAGAGGGTTAATCATTTGAATGCTT